GAAGCCAGGCCGCCCGTTTCTCTCGGGCAGGGCCGGTACGGGCTGCCGCCTCCCGCCCGCTGGGCCCTTGGGTCGCCGCCCCGCGGGGCCGCTTACCCTCCATCATCTCCTGCGACTGTTGCTGGCCCGCGCCGCGCTCCGCCGCCATGTTGGCTGCTCTTCCCCTTTCCGGAATCTGTCGCCTCGGGCTCCTCAGCCAATCAGGGCTCCTAGCTCGGACCCTTCCCAGCCAATGGAATCCTTCGCACTTGCGCGGCCCCACAGCCTCACGGGAGTTGTAGTCCACCCACGAGGCCGTGCCTGTCCACAGACGCTCCCGCCGCCGGCCTCACCTCCAGCGAGCAGGTAATTAGTGCACAGGAGGCTCTGGAGGCGACAAGTGGGAAGAGGGCAGGGGCAGTCGGGGCCCCACGTGCGGAGCGGAGCCTGCAGGCCAGCGGAGAGGCGTCTGGGAGTCGCTCTGGGCTCTTGGGCTGGTAGTGGGACACGGCCGGGTGTGTCTCTGCGTGGGGCTGCAAAGTGCGGGTCAGTCGAGCGCGTCCCCGGCCCTTCCGCGCGTCGGCGGCTGCGTCTGCACAATGAGCCGACTTTGTCCCGGCGTCGCCGCGCGGACTTAGCCCGTGGGAAGGGGCCGCCTCCAGTTAACGCTTAACGCAGGCACCCGCGCTCGTCCCCGGGCTGGGGCCCTGTCCGCCCGCGGGTCCCCCTGCAGGTGCTGGGAGAGCTGGTAGGGGCCCGGGGCGCCGACCCAGCCACTGCGGGCGCCGCAGCCCTGGCGGTCCCGGACCCTGCGGGCATGATGGGCCGTGAGGGAGCCGCCCTACGCTCCCTGCCTTCAGGTCGAGGCCTCCAAGGAGCGAGCTCCTCGCTTCTCACCCTTCTGAACCCTGAGACCAGAGGAAACGGCGTTCGCCGGACCGGGCTGGCTGAGGCGCCATCTCTTTTGGCTACTCCGAGGCGCCGTACAGGGACTTCGGTGCGTCCCTAGTAACCGTTAGCGTGTGCGTCCCCCTCAGGCTCGCTGGGTCCCGCCCACATGCGCCAGCGGTTGGCCCATGGGGCCTGTCAATCGGCGCAAGTCGCTCTACCATTGGCTGTCTGGGCTAGAGGCGCGGATCGGCGCCCTCCCGGCGGGAGAAGCGAGCTTGGCAGGGTGACCCTGTTCGGCCTCAGGTGAGCAGCAACGCCTGGCGCGCGTCCCGTGCTCCGCTGCCTTCTGCGTTCCTTCCGTGCAGCTCCGGCTGGGTGATGGCCCGCTTGTCGCCTGGCGGCCGTTTCTTCGCCGCGCCCGGTCCCCAGAGCGCCTCAGGAGCTGTGCCTCGGCTCCGCCCGACGCCCCGCCGTCTCCCCGGGGGAACGTGTGCGTCCCTCCGCCTCCCGGAAGGTGGGCCCCGAGAGTGCGGGCGCCTTGCACTCAGCTGCGCTGGGAGCCGGCGCTGAGCCGGTGCCTGGCACCTGGGAGCTGTACGGGGGCCTCGTGGGGGTCACAGGGCTGCAGCGCCTCTTGGGGCGGGCGTCCCGCACTTGGGGCGCGGGCTGTATCAAAGCTCGTCTTCCCTCCGCCGTGCGCCTTCTCCCAGGGGGAGCAGCTTGGGGTGGGCCTTGCTGCCTTTTCTCCCCGTCTTTCTGCCATTGCTTTAGATCCAGGATGACTGTAAGTCCCGCTCCTACCCCGCTGGTCTTTGTAATTTGTAAGGTGCATATCTGGGCAGGTTACACAGAGCCCTGTAAAGTCAACTTTGGGGGAAAATCCATGCCGCTTGGGCAGGCGTAGGAGGCCTCGGGGCCCATCTCCACCTGCTCCCCTGTGCCCTGAGCTCCTCCCAAGGGGCCTGTGGGAGCCTTTGACTTCCTGTGGTTCTGCCTGGGCTCAGCTCGGCTGGTGCCTCCTCCGGGAAGCGGGGCCCTTTGCTCACACCCTCCAGCACAGCAGCCATCATTCTGGTTGTTGTGTGGGATGCGTCGATGCAGGAAACACAGAGACGGTCGGTCTCTGAATGAATCTGATGGTGAGTGAAGTCCAGAGGAAGGCAGGTTTTAGGGTAGTTCATCCAGTGGCTCCAAACGACATCCGTGCCATTTTCAGCTCTGCTCGCCTTCTGTGAGCTTCATCCCGAGGCTGGTTCTGCTCTGGATTCTACAGCAGTGGTGGGAGCAGTTGGAGCTGTTTGCTTCCTAGCTTGGGTTCTAGTGGGAGAAAGTGGGTTGCTTCCAGAAGTTCACCCATAAGAGCAAAGAGTACTTTTCCAGAAGCTCCCTGAAGACTGCTCCTTGCTTCTGTTTGGTCTGAAGGGGATGGGGAGTGTCACTCATACGTTCTGGAATCAAAACTAGCAAGGGAGCAGGATTACGCTGAGAACCATCAGGTGCTCTATGGATCCGGCTTCCTGTGTCTTCTGCTCAAGGCAGATATAAACAAACACAAACAAGATCTATTCTAAAAACCTAGGCCTGGACTTGCAGGCATTTCTGGTTAGAGTTTGAGTCAAAATTAAACTTGTGAAGAAGGAAGTGATCCAAGGTCGTGTGAAGCCAGGCTCTGCTTTCAGAGGCCAGCTGTTGCTGTGCAGAGGGGCCATGGGCCGCTTTGTTTGGCCTGGTGTGCTGTGCTGCACTGGCTGGACAAACTGCAAACGGAACAGAAGGCACGAAGGGAAGAAGGGTTGTCTTTTCTGCATCCACTTCTTGGCTTATCAACTTTGGACACTATTTCCTCCCAGGAAAGACAAAACATTTCTTGCCCTCACCCTCCCTTCACATTTCTTTCTCTCTTCTCCCCCGTTTCTTGTTACTTTTACAAAATAAACTTTTGTCAACACAATGTATTCTGAAGAATTTTATTACTTTTCTTTAACAAAGTAAAGTTTTTTTTAAAACTTTTTTATTGAGTTATAATCATTTTACAAAGTTGTATTAAATTCCAGTGAAAAGCACAATTTTTCAGTTATACATGAACATATAATATATATATTCATTGTTACATGTTTTCTCTGTGAGCTATCATAAGATCTTGTATATATTTAACAAAGTTTTACCGCATTTACAATGCACTCTGAAGCTGTAATCAAGTCTTCCGCGTTTTGTCTATAGGTTGGTTGTAGAAGTAGAAGCCTAAAATACGATCACATCGTTGTTAATTATTGTAGAAATAATTAGTGCATCTAGATGCTTAAAAAAGGAAATATAAACCGTGATACTTAAAAGTTGATCCTTGAAGGAAAGTGACACATTCTAGTAGTTTACTACCTAACTTCTTTCTTGCGTCCTACTCATCTTTTGGTTCATAGCCAGCTGCTGCTTTTAGAATCCCATGCTGGATATATACGTATGTGTAAAACATCTCTTAATTTTTCAATATGTACTAGCTGATTTCATACAAAAAGACAAATGCAATATCATGCATGATTGGTAACAGTAAAGTGAACACATTTAAACACATTTAAACCCTCCGCCCAGATGGGGAACCAGGAGACCTCAGTCCAGCACTGCAGGGCCCTCAGAGGACACCTCCTGCCTGGAGTTTGGGTCTGTCACATCTGTGTGGAACCCTAAACAATGTATTTAGATTGGGGGGGGGATTGTTATAGAATGGAAATCCTACTGTTGATGGTCCTTTGATTTTTTTAATTTGTTATATCGCTAAGATTTATCCTTATGTGTATAGAATTTTGTGTGTATAGAATTTGTTTTCACCACTATAACTCATAGCATGAATATACCTGATTTTTAAACCTGTTTTCTTGTTGATGAATGTGTAGGTTTTTACTTTTCTTTTTTGGCCTTTGCCATTGTGAACCGTACTGCCCTGAACATTCTTGAGTGTGACTGGCTACCTATGCGTGAGAATTTCTATAGAGTGGAAAATACTGTCACAGCAGGTGAGTGTTCGACTTAAATTGCTTTCTGATGAGATTATGTTAATTTGTTACCATTCCCATTGATCCACATCTTTATCAGCCTTTGGTATTAGAATTTATAGAATTCTTAATTTTTGCAGATTTAGTAGATATAAAATTGTCGTGATTACACTGATAAAGTTAAGCTTCTTATAAGTTTATTAACGATGAGGGTTTCCTCTTGTGAGTTACTTCCTTCTAGCTCTTGCCCATTTTTCTTTTTCTTTTCTTTTTTAAAATTAAAATAGAGTTGACATACAATATTGGTTTCAGGTGTACAACACAGTGGTTTGACATTTATGTACATTACAAAATGATCTCCATGACAAGTATAGTAGCCATCTGTGACCAACAGAATTATTACAGTTTTGTTGACTGTGTTCCCTGTATTTCCTACATGACGTCCCTGTGACTTATTTATTGTATGACTGGAAGTTTGCATCTCTTAGTCTCCCTTACCTGTTTCACTAATCCCCCCCCCACCTCCCCTCGGGACACTGCTAGCTTTGGCTCTGTGCCTCTGAGTCTGTTTTGTTTTTTAGATCCACAAATAAGTGAAGTCATGTGGTATTTGTATTAGGGTGTATATATGTTTCTTTGAATTTGTGTTTTCATTTTCTTCAGATAAATAGCCAGGAGTGGAATTGCTGGATCATGTGGTAGTTCTATTTTAATTTTTTGAGGACCCTCCATACTGTTTTCCGTAGTGGCTGCACCAATTTACATTCCCTCCAGCAGCGCACAAGGGCTCCCTTTTCTCCACGTCCTTGCCAACACTTGTTATTTGTTGTCTTTTTGAGAAGAGCCGTTCTGCCAAGTGTGAGGTGATGCCTCATTGTGGTTTTAATTTTCATTTCCTGATAATCAGTGACATTGAGCATCTTTTAATGTGTCTGTTGGCCATCTGTATGTCTTCTTTGGGAAAATGTCTGTCTCTTCAGGGTCTCTGTGCATTTTTTAATCAGATTGCTTGTTTTTTGATGTTGAGGTATATGAGTTCCTTGTATTTTTGGATATTAACCCCTTATTGAACAAGTCACTTGCAGATATCTTCTCATGTTAAGTAGGTTACCTATCTTTTTATTGATGGTTTCCTTCACTGTGCAAAAGCTTATTAACTTGATTAGGTCCCGTTTATTTATTTTTCTTTTGTTGCCCTTGCCTGAGGAGGCAGATCCAAAAAGATATTTCTAAGACTGATGTCAAAGAGTGTACTGCCCATATTTTCTTCTAGGAGTGTTAATTTCAGGTCTTTCATGTAAGTGTGCAATCTATTTTTATTTTTATTTCTTGTGTATGGTGTGAGAAAGTGGTTTAGTGTGATTCTTTTGCATGTACCTGCCCAGTTTTCCCAGTGCCATTTATTGGAGAGACTGTCTTTTCAAGTTTATAGTCTGACTTCCTTTATTGTAGAGTATTTGATTTTACAAGCATGGATTTTTTTCTGGGCTTTCTGTCCTCTTCCGTTGTTCTATGTGTCTGTTTCTATGCCAGTATTGCCCTGTTGTGTGTGCTGTAGCTTTGTAGTACAGTTTGAAATCAGGGAGTGTGATATACCTCCAGCTTTGTTATTTTTTCACAAGATAGTTTTGGCTATTCATAGTCTTCTTTGTTTCTGCACAAATTTTAGAATTATGTGTTCTTATTCTGTGAAAAATGCCATTGGTATTTCGATAGGGATTGCATTAAATGTGTAGATTTCCTTGGGTTGTATGGTTATTTTAACAATTTTCTTCCAATTCATAAGCATGGTACATTTTTCCATTTGTTTGTGTACTCTTCAATTTCTTTTATTAGTGTCTTATAATTTTCAGAATACAAGTCTTTCACTTCCTAGTTAGATTTATTCCTAGGTATTTTATTCTTTTTGATGTAATTCTTAAGGGAATTATTTTCTTAATTTCTTTTCTGAGAGTTCATTATTAGTATATAGAAATACAACAGATACCTGTATATTTTTTTTCTTGTAACCTTACTGAAATCATTTATTCTAATAAATTTTTGATGGAATCTTTAAGGTTTTCAGTATATGGCATGTTATTTGCTAATAGTGACAGTTTTATTTCTTTCTTTCCAATTTGAATACCTTTCATTTCTTTTTCTTGTCTGGTTGCTTAGGCTAGGACTTCTAAAATTATGTTGAATAAAAGTGGTATGAGTGGACACCCTTGTCTTGTTCCTGATCTTAGACGAAAAGCTTTCAGCTTTTTACCACTGACTATGATGTTAGATGTGGGTTTGTCGTGTATGGCCTTTATTATGTTGAGATATGCCTCCACTCTACCTACTTTGTTAAAAGTTTTTTTTTATCATAAATGGATATTGGTTTTTGTTAAATGCTTTTTCTGCATCTATTAAGATGATCGTATAATTTTTACCTTTTGTCTTGTTAATGTGGTATATCATGTTGATTGATTTGCAGGTATTAAACCATCCTTGCATCCTGGGATAAATCCCACTTGGTCATGGTATATGAACCTTTCAATGTATTGTTGAATTCAGTTTGCTAGTATTTTGCTTAGGAGTTTTACGTCTGTGTTCCCCAGGAATATTGACTTGTTATTTTCTTTCTTTGGTAGTGTCTTTGTTTGATTTTGGTATCATGGTAATGCTGGCCTTGTAAAATGAATTTGGGAGTGATTCTGCCTCTTCAACTTTTTAGAATAGTTTGAGGAAGACAGGTGTTAGCTCTTCTGGAAATGTTTGGTAGAGTTCACTCATGAAGCCATCTGGCCCTGGAATTTTGTTTGTTGGGAGTATTTTATTGCTGATTCAATTTCACTACTTACTAGTAATCAGTCTGTTTAGATTTTCTGTTTCTTCCTGATTTGGTCTTGAAATCTAGGAATTTATCCATTTCTTCTAGGATATCCAATTTGTTGATGCATAACTTCTCATAGTACTCTCTTATGATCCTTTGTATTTTTGTGGTGTCAGTTGTAACTTCTCTTTCATTTCTGATTTTATTTGGTCTATTTTATTTTTTCTTGATGAATCCGGCTAAAAGTTTATTAGTTTTGTTTATCTTTTGAAAGAATCAGCTCTTAGTTTCATCGATCTTAAAAATTTTTTAGTCTCTCTTTCATTTATTTCCACTCTGAACTTTATTATTTCCTCCCTCCTACTAACTTTGAGCTTTATTTCTTCTTTCTCCAGTTCCTTTAGGTATAATGTTATATGGTTTATTTAAGTTTTTTGATTTCTTGAGGCGAACCTGTATCCCTACAATCTTTCTACTTGAAACTGATTTTGCTGTGTCCCATAGATTTTGCATCATTGTATTTGTTTTCATTTGTCTTGAAATCTTTTTTTTTTAGATTTCCTCTTTGATGTCTTTGTTGACCCATTGATTCTTTAGTAGCACGTTATTTAGTCTCCAAATACTAATTTTTTTCTTTTTCTTTTTTTCTTTTAATTGATCTCTAGTTCATGCTGTTGTCAGAAAAGATGCTTGATATAATTTCAATCTTAAATTTATTGAGGCTTGTTTTGTGGCCTCTCATGTGATTTATCCTGGAGAATGTTCCATGTGCACTTTTAAAGAGTGTGTATTTTGCTGTTTCTGAATTGAATGTTCTATCTATATTAAGGTAATGTGGTTTAATATGTCATTTAAGGCCAGTATTTCCTTACTGATTTTCTCTCTGGATGATCAGTCCTATTTTGGGGGGGTGGGGTGAGGTAATTAGGTTTCTTTTTATTTATTTTAATGGAGGTTCTGGGGATTGAACCCAGGCCCTTGTGCATTCTAGGCACACAGTCTACCACTGAGCTATACCCACCCTCCAATCTGTCCATTGATGTAAGTGGGATGTTAAAATCCTCTACTATTATTGTGTTGCTGTCTGTTTGTCTCCCTTTATGTCTGTTAGTATTTATGTATTTAGGTGCTCCTCTGTTGGATGCATTGATAGTTACAAGTGTTACATCCTCTTGTTGGAAGAAATCCCTTTGACGTTTCTTGTAAGGCTAGTTTAGTGGCGGTCAACTCGGTTAGCTTCTGCTGTCTGTGAAACTTGTGTCTCTCCTTCACGTCTGAATGATAGCCTTGCTGGGTGGGGTATTCTTGATTGCAGAGTCTTCCTTTCACTGCTTGGTGTGTATACTTCCAGTCCGCTCTGGCCTGCAGGGTTTCTGCTGAAGAGTCAGCTGATGGTCCTATGGGGGGGGTCCCTTGCATGTAACTAATTGTTTTTCTCTTGTTGCATTTAGGATTCTCTGTTTTTAACTTTTGGCATTTTGATTATTATGTGTCTTGGTGTGACCGGCTTTCAGTTTGTCTTGTTTAGGACATTCTGCTGTTCCTGGACCTGGATGTCTGTTTCCTTCCCCGGATTAAGGCTGTTTTTGACTATTAGTTTTCAAGTGAGTTTTCCTCTCTTCTCTCTCTCTCCTTTCCTGGATTCTCCCTAATCTGCATGTTGGTGTGCTTGATGCTGTCTCAGATGGCCCTTAACCTGTGCTCTTTTCTTAATTCTTTTGTATTTTTTTCTCTTTGGCTTGGGTGGTTTCTTCTCCATCTTCCAGATCACTGGTCACTGTTGTCTGATCTACTGTTGGTTCCTTCTAGTGTATTTTCTAGCAGTTGTGTTCTTCAGTTCTAAATGGTTCTTTTTTTCTGTTTTCTTTCTTTCTTTTTGTATGTTTCTTTTTTATATTTTTGTAACTCTCTGTTGGAGTTCTCGCTGTGCTCACCCATTCCTCTCTTCACATTCTGTGAGCACCTTTTTGGTCATTAGTGTGGACACTATCAGGTAGATTACTTACCTCAATTTAATCTAGTTCATTCTCTGAGGTCTTGTCTCGTCCTTTCATTTGGAATGTATTCTTCTGTCTCTTCATCCTGCCCAGTCCGTATCTCCAACCTTGGAGAAGTGTCCTTGAGTGAGAGGTGTTCCCTGGGGCTCAGCAGAACGCTCCCCCTGGCCCCTGAGCCTGGTGCTTCGAGGGTGCGCCCCCATGGGCTGTGCGCACCCCTCTGCGGTGGTGGGCCGACTACTGTGGCTGGCTGTGCTTGCTGAAGCGCGGTCTTCCTCTCAGGGCTGCTCCTTGGCCCGCGCCAGGGTTTGTGTGCAATGAGGTGGGAGGACCAATGAAGGGAGGAGGCTTGTGTGGGTCTGGGGAGTGGGCTCCAGGCCGGGAGCTCTGGATCACCAGAAGGTGGTCCAGAAGGGGGTGCAGCCTCTGGGGGCACGTCGCCCTGGCCTCCTCCACCAAGGGCCCTGGCCTGGGCCTCCTGGCAGCAGGTCTGCACTGGAGTGCAGTGTCACTGTTGGGGGAAACTTGGCCAAGGACTTGTGGGACTCTACTGTATTTTTTTCTTTATCTGCTTGGGAACCTATAAGTATATCAAAATTAAAAGTTAAAAACAAAAACTCAGCCCTCCGGTGCCAGGCACCCTCCAGACTCTCACTTCACATTGTTATTTTGTTGGAGGCTCCATGTGTGATTTTGGACACAGCTGGTCGGGCCCATCGGATTAGGGGGAAGCTGGGGCTGAGGGGGCCATCAGACCCTCACAGGCTGGCGGGTTCTCATAGCATTGGTGACATCTTGACCGAGCAGCATTGGACCTGCAGCCTGTGCCTTCCTTCATGGCTCCTTACCCTCAGTTCTGGTTTCCTCCTTTCTCCTTCTCTCTGTCCCCTCCCTTCCTATGCACTTCTCTGTGTGTCATAGGTTCTGACCCAGGGTGGCTCTTGGGTGTGTGTGTCTTTGGGGGCTGAGCTTAACTCACCCTTGTGGAGAACTAGTTGGCTAAACTGACTTTGATCTTGCGTTGCAGACGCTGACCAGGTTCCCTTCGTCTCCTGGTGGACGGCTGTCCCGCTGGCCCACTGTCTCCCAATGGAGGACTGCGGCTCGACGGCCTTAGAAGGGGACCCGACGAAAGGCCCCGCCATGCAGACTGCCTCTGAGCCCCACAAGTCCTTGTCGTTGGCCCACAGACACCTGAGCAGAAGGAATGGGCTTTCGAAACTCTGCCAGAGCAGGATGGCACTCTCCGGTACCCGGCCCTTCCCGTCTCCGGGTGTTGGCGCCGAACATGAGAGTGTGGAGTCACACTTGGCTCCGTTCAGGGTCTCTGCTCTAGCAGAGGAGGTCTTTATCTAGGTGGTGCTGGCAGGCCCCTCCTCTCTTTGTCTAGTGTGGTGCTGCGTTTGTTCTGCTGTGATTCTCAGGCGGGAAACTCTCTTCTGGCAGTGGTTGGGATTTGCCTCCACATTCCAGGGTCGGAGCAGAGCACTGTTTCTTACTTGGGGTGTGTGAAAAAGCTGAGCCGGGCTGGGCCAGATGCGGGCGAGACATGGCTTTGTTCGTTCTGTTCAGTGCCCTCTGACTGTGCCACAGGCTCCCGCCTTCCTCTCAACGCAGACGAGTTAGATGGGCTCTTGGGTGCCGACCTCAAAAGGCGGAGGGGGTGCCTGGGGTGGGCCGAGAGCATGGGCACTGCTGCCAGGCCATCCTTACTTCTCTGAGCCTGTGGTGCCTGCAGGGCCCAGACCCAGCGAGGAAGAAGGCATCACTGCCTTTGAGGGGGTGCCTGGGAGGCAGCAGGTGCTTGCTAGACACCGGGTAGACCCAGACCATGGGGAAGTCTGTTTGTATCACAGAGGGGTGTCTGGAGCTGGAGGAAAGGGCTGCGGGGGGGTGAGGAGGTGGGCTCTGTTTTGGGGGAGGGAAGGCGATGTGAGCTTGCGTGCTGCTGCAGAAAATGGAAGGGCTGGGTGTGTTCAGGGGGCAGGCTCCCCTCCCTGTGGGGAGGAGTCGATGAGGCAGGCCGGTGGGCTGTCTCCTTGGGAGCGAGGGCTCCAGTGGGGGCCTGCCAGGGACACACGGGGGCAGAGGCAGAGCTGGCGTCTCAGTGCCTGAAGGGAGTTTGAAGGGAGGTCAGGACTGGCTGCCTGGGAGGAGGAGGGGCAGGGCAGGTGGCTGTGTAGTTTCCTGTCTCAGAGAAGACATCAGCATGGGCCCGCTCACTGAGAAAGTCAAGGAATCCTCTGTGAAGGCCCAGAGGGGAAAGGAGGGCAGAGCCATGTCTGTTCTGTTGGTTTCTGAGCTGCTGAGGGTGGAGCTAACACTGGCTGAGATGGGAGGGGAAGCAGCCAGCCGGATCCCAGCGGCAGCGGCACATTTCTATGTGAAGCATATTTAAAGCTGTGGAGTGGGGATGGAGTGGAGGTTCTGAGGCCGAGCCTGGGGTCCTGCAACCATGAGAGAGGAGGAGGGTGGAGGGGAGGTGGTGCCCTGCTGAGGACAGGCTGTTCAGGAGGAGGGGAGAGGCCCTCCTGGCCCGGCTGTGCTGTTGAGGGGTGGAGCTGGTGAGGCCTGAGGAGCGGGAGCGGGAGATGTTGCCCAGAGCAGGTTTTCTGGAGTGGTGGGGAGTGAGCACCTGGTTGGAGGAGGCAGAACGGGGATGGGATGGCCAAGACACAGGGAGCTCTTGAACTTGTGAGACTTTCCAGGAACAAGGGAGAGGGCAGTTGCTGGAGGGCTGGGGGTCTCGGAAAGAGGGACACAGGAGAGTGCCCCTTGGAGGGGTGGGCGGGAAGGGACCTCAGAGTCGTTCACACAGACACGGAGAGGATGTTTGTGCGTCTGATAGGACACGCTCCGTGTGGTGCCCCTAGAGAGAGTCAGCGCTGCGGGTCAGCCGAGCCTAGACCTCTGTGGGGTTAGGAGCAGGGCTGTGCGTGCGTCTCGGCCGCATGAGGTCTAACGCCCGCTTCCATTGCTTTCCAGAAGACACATGGAGCTCCTACTGTCTGTCATCCCTGGCTGCCCAAAATATTTGCACAAGCAAATTGCACTGCCCTGTGGCACCTGAGCAGGTGGACCTGGCCGGGTCCCTGGGCAGCGTGTCCTGCTGCTCCCTGCTGCGGGGCTTGGCCTCAGGGCGGTCCACGCCCCTGCTCCCGGCCCCCGTGTGCAACCCCAACAAGGCCGTTTTCACAGTAGACGCCAAGACCACAGAGGTACGTGCTTCAGTGTGTGCCCAGTCACAAGTCTGGGGCCTGTGCCTTCAGCCAGAACCTCAAAGAGAGTGTTGAGCGTTTTAGGTGCAGTTAAAAAACCGGCTGGTTTTACCTGTGTAGTAGCAAGAGGGATGTGAATTTGGGGGCCTCAGTAGGAATCAGTAACAGCTGACTGGATGCTCTCAAGGCAGAGGCAGGAAGGATGGCTGTGCCCTGGTGTCTCCTGCCCGCTGTCCGTCCTTGTTTCCCTGCAGCTGAGACACTGGAGCCCCAAGGGCGGCTCTGCTGGGAGACCGCCGACAGCGGACCATCACGGGGGCGTGAGGTGTCTGGGCCATCCCTGCCGGTGCCTGGGCCGCCTTCCCGCCGCCTGCTCCTTGGCCGCTCCCGGGAGCTGGAGGAGCAGCCATGACGCTCGTGCCCCCTCCTCTCTGCCACCCTCAGATCCTGGTTGCCAACGACAAGGCCTGCCAGCTCCTGGGGTACAGCAGCCATGACCTGATCGGCCAGAAGCTCACACGGTTCTTCCTGAAGCCGGACTCTGATGTGGTGGAGGCGCTCAGCGAGGAGCACGTGGAGGCCGATGGCCGTGCCGCCGTCGTGTTTGGCACAGTGGTGAGTGCTGGCCTCTTGGCCGCTGGCCCTGGTGTGGGGAGCAGCTGGAGGCGGGGTGCGTCGTGGAAACAGGAGCGGGGTCGTGCTGGCCTGGCATGAGGGCAGCAGGAGCGTCCTGGGAGGAGCTCGGCCAGCGTGTGCGACCCTGCAGGGCTCCGCCTCAGCTCCCAAACGTGTAGCGCGATTCTGCCGTCTTCCCAGCTGGCTCTCCACGTCTGTGGTGCGGAGGGGCTGGCCTGATCGGAAGGCTCCCTGGAGCCGGATCCTCCCGGTGTGCGTCCAGCCCGGACATGGATGGGTGAGCTGCACGTTAGACGCTGAGCCCTGAGCCTCAGGCAGCAGGGAGGATAGGTGGACTTGGGGGTGGAGAGCTCCGTGGTGGATCACATGCTCGGTGTGTTCCAGGTCCTGGGTTCGATCCCCAGTGCCTCCGTTAAAGAAAAATAGAACGTATAGGATCAACTACATCCAAAAAATTACCCGTCTAAGAGCCCAACTTCCTAGAAAAAGAAAATGAAGACATTCAGCACGTCTTGGTGTCTTTTCCTTAAGAAACCATAGATCCTGCTGTTTTTCCCCTGCTGTCTTACTGTGAAGCTGAGGGTGGAAAAACCTGCTCTTCTGATAAGCGTTCCCTCAGAGATCATGAGGTTAAGCGCCGGAAACCTCGTTTGTACTTTAGTTGATTTCTGAGGCGTGAGGCAGGTGAGCCGAGGTCCAGGGTACCCTGGAGCCTGGGCTCTGGCAGGTGGGAGCCTGTCTGCGCCTGCAGGTGGACGTCGTGAGCCGCGGTGGGGAGAAGGTGCCGGTCTCCGTGTGGATGAAGAGGGTGAGGCAGGAGCACAGCCTCTGCTGCGTGGTGGTGCTGGAGCCTGTGGAGCGGGTCTCGGCCTGGGTGGCCTTCCAGAGCGACGTGAGTGTGTCTGGTTTCTCCACGGCCTCTGCCCCCACCGTGTGCCTTTGGGCAGGAGGAGCCTGGGGTTCTGGAGAGTGTGCTCTCAGCCGCTCTTTCCTGTTGTGCGCCCTTGGGTGAGGAGCCCCATCTCCTCGTGCCTGTTCCTTCACCTGTAAAAGCGGGATCTGATTGTGACTGCTGATTGGATTGTTTCACACTTCAGTGAGACAGTGCCAGTCACCCCCCAGAGTGGCGGCTGACACGCAGCAGCACACACATGCCAGCCAGGGTGCGGTGCGGTTGCTGTAGTGAGCAGGCCTCTAGAAGGAGCCTCGGGAAGTTGGTGTCTAGAGACACCTGTCAGGAGCGGGGAGATGGTGTTCTGAGCAAGGTTTGTCTGTGTCCCTCTCACACCTCAGATGGAGAGTGGTGTTACAGCCTTGCTTTCAGCTTGCAGTTGCAGTTCAGTGCAGTTGACAGCTGAAGTGCAGGAGACTCATTACAATGCTTCAACCACTGGCTTTTCCTCCAAGGGCACCGTGACGTCCTGCGACAATCCCTTTGCGCACCTGCTCGGGTACGCCTCTGGGGAGGAAGTGGTCGGGCAGCTCATTACAGACCTGATCCCTTCCGTGCAGCTCCCCACTCCCAGCGAGCACATCCCCAAGGTAGGACCCCGACCCTCTGCTCCGCATGGCTGTGCCCGGGGCCTGTGGCTGCTGGAGGCTGTTCATCTGGTGATGGTCGGGTTCTTAGACCCGAATCCACGACCTGGAGGCAGAGGCCCCAGGTTCCTGAGAGTAGGAGTGTCACAACACGCAGGGACACAATGGGACTGGGTCTGCTTAGAGCCCTTGGGCCACTGGAGTCTTGACCAGGGGCCAGAGCCTACGCGGCCCCCTGACTGGCTGCTGACCTCTGGGTGCTCTGTCCATCCCCTGCCCCAGCCTCCTCAGCTCCACCTCCACCCACGAAGCCAAGTCCTTGCACCATGCTTCTCTGCTCTGAAGACCTGGGTTGTCTCCGGTTTCCTGAGCAACCCTGGACTGGAGGGAGGCACACCAGACTGTGCGTTACACAGTCCCCTCAGTCCTCTCCTGGGGCACCTGCTGAGGTCTGTTTACTGAGAAGTGTGGCGGCCGTGAGGAGCAGGGAGAGTTGGCGGCTGGCAGGTCTCCGCTCAGGCAGGCTGCGGTCAGATACAGAAGGGTTGGTCGGCAGCTCTGGGGGTAGTGGAGCCTGGGGCTGGACGTTCTGTCATCAGCCGGATCCTCCCAGTTCCCAGGTTCCCTGTTTCCCAATTAGTGTGCAGCCTTCACACGAGTGATTACACTGCTGTGAAGTCACCCCTGGCGACCTGCAGGGTCAGACTGATGGTCAGTTTTTGGCTAAAGTTGGCTTTGCTGCTGCAAGAAATAGGAGACTCTTTCAGGACATCTGTGGGCACTCCCTGGCTCTCCCACTGGCCTTAGGCTGAGAGCTGTACGCGCTGAGCTGGTCCTTCGGTATTTTCAAGCTTTTGAGCTTGGCAGCCTCTCTCCCTACCCACTTGTTCTCTTTATGTCCTTTTTGCCATCCAGACCCCTAGCTCCTTGGTCCCCAAAGCTGTGGGTGCATCAGTTGGTATGACCACTTTAGAGGACTTGTTTGGCAGCATCTGCTGACTCTGAACATAAGCAAGCTTCAGGCCCACCCTAGGCATGCATCCAAAGGAGGTGTGCACCAGGCAGGCCGTGTAAGCGTGTTCCCAGCAGCCTGAGCTGGAGCCGCCTGACGCCCCAGCAGCAGATAGAGGCAGACACTTCCTCTCATTCCTCGCAGGGCTCACTGGGCCTCAGGTCCCAGCCTGCACGCTTGCTGCAGGGAGCCTGGGGTCTTGAGTTCTGACCCCATTCAGGGCGCAGTGCTGGTGTGGTGGGAGCTACGCCACGTTCAGGCCACATCTACGATACAGGCCCCTGCAGGTCCTGTGCCTTTGGGTGGGCCCTTAAGAAAGGGGCAGGCAGGATTGGGTGAAGGGCGTGGACACACAGCCTGGTGTGCCTCCCTCCAGGCCAGGGTTGCTTGGGAAACCGGAGACAATCCAGGTCTTTAGAGCAGAGAAGCATGGTGCAAGGACTTGGCTTCGTGGGTGGAGGTGGAGCTGAGGAGGCTGGGGTGGGGGATGGACAAACCACCCAGAGGTCAGCAGCCACTAGAACCACTGCCCCCAGGCTGGAGGAGAGGGCAGGGTGGGGGTCTGGGGCTCCGTGGTCCAGGCTGAGAGCTGGAGGCACTCGCTGACACTCCTCCCTGCAGGGTCGGCACAGAAGACAGCCCGGTCCTGGAGTGTTTCCTGATGGCCCTGTGTGTGCTGTCCTCGGGCCATCCTGGGGTGGGGCCCAGCCATGGCTCCTGGTCGGGCTCTACGCACCTGGGGGCAAAGAGGGTCACGGGGAGATGGAGGAGGGGGAGCAGTGTGGAGAGCTGGGTGCTCCGGGGGCCCAGGGGGTGGACTTAGATCTGAAGCTGTGAAGCCTCAAAACTCGGGCCAGAGAGGCACTGCGGTCAGCTCAGCGCACGTCCTCTTTCAGAACCTCGAAATTCAGAGGTCTGTCGGGAGAGCCAGGGATGGCACCACCTTCCCCCTGAGCCTGAAGCTGAAGTTGGAGCCCAGCAGTGAGGACGCAGATGACAGCACGGCAGCCCCCGCCGGGGGCTACTCCGCGTCCGTCTGGGTGTTCTCCACCATCAGTGGGCTCATCACGCTTCTGCCGGACGGGACCATCTACGGCATCAACCGCAGCTTTGCGCTGACGCTGTTTGGTTACGGGGAGGCCGCGCTCCTGGGCAAGGTGGGGGCCGGGGCACCCAGGGCCAGGCCACCCCATCACAGCCGCACTCCTGCCTCTCCTGGCCCAGCTCCCAGCTTTGCCCCGGGACCGCAGGCCCAGCGAGGGTCCCCTGCTCAGGACCCCACTCCTCCCACTGTGCCTGCCTCTCTGGACCCCACAGTGGGAGACCACCTCCAGAGCCCCTGGTGCCGTGCCCACGCCCTCCGGGAGAGGGAGGGAGCACTCACCTCAAAGCCTGTCCGAAGCAAGCAGAGTCTGGTCTGAGCTACTGGACCAGGGCACACGTCACAGCTGTTGGGTCTGCTCCGCACCCCTGGGCTGGGCTTGTCCATACCTCCTCCTGCGAACGACTGGGGGCCGTTGTGGGTCAGAGCCAAGGACGGTGTTTCTATAACCTTCTTCCTTGGATTAGGCTGGGTTCTGAGGGCAGCCTTGGAGTGCCCTTCCTTGAGTGGTCCCAGCAGTCCTCCCTGAGGAGGGGGCACGGGCCCCCACTTGATGGGGTCTTGCGGGAGGGAGAAGCTGCCGTGTGGTGCGTCGCTCTTGACACTCAAGTGGCCCCCACCCTCTTCCCCTTGCTCGGCTGGCCAGGCACCTCGATGTGGGTTCAGGTCCCGCATTGCCCACGGCTTTTCACCTAGTGCCCTGCTCCCCACAGGCCGTGTCCCCTGTGGTCACTGCTGTGGACCCTGCAGCCTGTACGGCCGGCCAGGGCTTCAGCCTCTTTAGAGGCCCCCCAAACTGGTCCCTCTCTGTTCTCTAGTAGAAATACTAAGAAGCAAGTAAGCTGAATTTTAGTTAAATTATGTCAACCGTAGTTCAGCTGAAGTCAATGAAAACGCAGTTGGGGTAATTTCTGGACAAGGGCTTCCCTGGGGAAGAACGCTGGGGGCCTGGGTCCTGTCAGGGAGTGCGTGGACCTAGTTTCCGGGTGTGCTAAGACACGGGAACAATTTAGGATTTCCAGGTTGCGTGTCAGAGGGGCTCGGGCCTGCCGAGAGGAGTTTGACCTGGGATCTGTCCTAACCTCGTCCAGAGACTTGGTCATGTCATTTCCCTTCTCTGCCTAGAAGGGACGATGGGGTGGTCCTGTGGGTCAGTGAGGAGTCTCTCCAGGTTCAGAAATGTCGCTTCTGTTTCCTAGAATATCACTTTCCTGATTCCTGGTTTCTACCGCTGCATGGACCTTGCCTATGGCAGTTCCTTACCACTGCTGGACCTGGCCGACTGCCCAGACACTGGCACCCAGAGTGGGCCTGGAGGGACGACTGGGGATGCCCAGGAGGGCTGGAGCCCTGCCAGTGCAGCTGAGGGTGAGACCTGGCCTCCGTCTCCCGGTACACCTGCGGCCTCCCAGCCCCACCAGCCCCCACCCTCTATGGGAGATGGGCTGGAGCTCGGGGGTGTGGGCGTGATTGCGTGGGTTTGGTGTTCTGTTACTCGTGGGCCTTCAGTGTTCCCGGGGTGGGATGCTTGTGTGTGGGTCTTGCCCCCGTATTAGCACAGAGGGGAGGATGCACTCCCCCAGGTAAGTCACCGCTCCTGCGTCCAGGACGCCAGTAGCTGAGTGGTGTCGTCTTTTGTGAGGAAATCTGTGTAGCTTTACGTAGCTTAAGACAGTGTTGACGTAGCACGGCAGACTCATCCCTGAGTTAAGTAGTCCTGGCAGGGTTTGTCTATTTAGTTATGCTTATTCCCAGTGCTTTCAACTTAACATTTAAAGTCATCCCGACAAATGCCCGAGAGCCATTTTGTGAGCGCGGTAGGCGCAGTGCATGTCCCAGCGGGGCCCAGAGCAGAGTGCAGCTGAAGCTCTGCACTCCAGTGCCCTGAGGCCTCCCTTCCCTTGAGGAGGAGTGGGGGAGTCCCCCAGGCTGTCACCTGAGGGCAGGACCGTGGAATAGACACAGGTACTACAAGGGTGTGACTGTACCGTGTCCCACTGGGGGGTCAGCATTTATGTCAGCTTTTCAGCTTCCCGCGTGGGGAAGCACAGCTCTTGTCCCTCAGCGTCCTCCTGGGGCGTTAGGAGCTGGATTGTGGCACTGTGTTCTGAAGGGTTAAAGGGCGCTTTGTAGGCTGCTGACTCTCTTTGAATGACCACTTTGCTTAGCATGGGGCTTCCTTCCTTGTATCTGGGTTTTTCTGTCTGTAAAAACCCTCCTTTTCAAGTTTTTCTTGTCTGTCACTGATTATATTCCCGCTCCTCTTTTCCAGAATTCCAAATTCCTCCTGGTGTGTGTGTGTAATACATGTTCTTTGTAGAAAACAGAGGGGGTTTTCACAAAGGTTCTGCCCCTCATTGTCTCCTCAGGGTGGGGTCATGGCGTGTTTGTGGGTGCAGGGTGTAGCCCGCCTGCTGCCATCAGCCAGGGACTGGGTTCTGAGAGCCGCCCTACTCCTGGTGCTATCTCCTGAGGGCAGTCCCCCTCCGCTGACCCGTGTGCCTGTGGTGCTGGGCCCTGTGGGCAGACAGCAGCTGAGGGGAGGCAGGGGACGCAGAATCGCGGGCGTGAGGTGTAGGAGGGGACCCGTGCTTCAGGGGGAAAGCGGAGCTGGGGAGGGTGTGCAGACTCAGCTCCATGGGCCAGAAGGAGGCAGGGGCAGCGTTCTGGATGAGGGAGCGGAGCCAGGTGTGGCTGGGAGGCAGCGGCCCCGGGGGAGGAGCAGCCATCTGGCCCAGGACCTTCGGTTTTCGCCTGGAGTCAGGGCGGGACTCCGGGGACTGTCGGCAGACGAGGGACACATCTGACTCCACAGTTGGTGGGATGGTGCCAGTCAAGTGTGGGGCCCACGATGGAGCAGGGACAGCCCAGGACCGGGTGTCTGTGGTGGGGCGAGGGGAGGTCGCTCCGACACCTGCTGTGGATGCGGGGCTGGAGGCATGTCTGAGATCAGGTGAGGTCTCCTCTCGCGCCTGCTCAGGAGCCTTGGGGAGAGGAGACGGTTTGCAGCGGGTGTGCTGGCAGGTGGGAGACTGTTTTTTGCTGTTGTTGCTAGAGCCGAGGGCGGACACTGAGACCCTGAAGCTGGTGGGGAGCCCCGGCAGTCCCCCCAGGGCTCAGGCCCACTCCGATGCTGGAGGCCGCCTCCCCTCCTCGCTCCAGACAACGAGGCCCGGGCTGGGGTAAGTCCTGTGGGAGGTGCAGGTGCACCAAAGGGGAAGTGGGGAGGGGGAGGTGCACCTGGAAGCCGTCCGTGCTCAGCGAGGACAGTGGTGACGCCTGCTCCTGCCCCTCATGATGGCAGTGCTACTCCTGTG